CGCATTTTATATATATATTATAATTTTCTTTAAGATTTTTATGTAAATTTTCAATGATTTGTACTTTAACAACTTCTTTTCTTATTTTTAAATCTGCTAATCTAAATGCAATTGAATTATGAATCTTATTGTATAAATCAAGATATTTAAAAAGTAGTAATATGTATTCAGAATGATTATATCAAATTACTTCTTAATTTTTAATAAGTATATTAAGTTTCTTTGCTCTGCAATTCTATGCATATATTGCATTTTATTTTAACTTGCTAATTTTATCCTTATTTATGTTAATTTTAGATTCAACTATTGCAATTTTTAAATTTGTATTATTTTAAATTAAAAATTTATTGTAATAATATAAATTTGATTTTAATTTAGCAAATTTATTTTCAGTTATTTTAATTGAGTCTGCTATCTTTTTTTTAAGCTAATACATTCTTAGAAACTTCTAGTATAGATTCGATTAAATCAATTATAGGTAGAAAAGTTAGTTCTGCTATAGGATTTAAGAAGTTAACTCTTATCATGAGTATAAAGTATAGATTAATTGAAGTAGTTATATATCCTTTAATTATATTATCAATTTTGAAAGTATTTTATTTCTAATATTCCTCTATTCTTTTACTGTATTATTACAAATAATAGTATAAATTCTTTACAGTTAAATATTTATTTAAAAGAATATATATTTGTATAAAATAGAAGTATTGCATTTAATATAAAAATAGCAAGTATCTATATAAAATAAATTATCATTTCTTAATAAAAATGTAACATAAATAGCATAGTGAAATTTATTAGTATCATATAATATCTTACATAAGAGTGTAAGAATTGAGCCTTATAGTAAATTGATATTACATAATAAATGTCATAGCCCTAATTGATGATAAATTTTCTGATATTTTAAGAGATTGTTAAATGTATGGAATGTATTCATAATGTCACTATAGAATTTTTCAACTCAAGATAGTCACATTATCAAGTCTCTACTCAGAATTCCTAACTGTAGCTTACTGTAGTCAAAACATTAGAATCTGCTTAACTCTTAACTTTATCAAATTTACACGTTAGGCTTAAACAAATCTATCAAGTATGAAGACTTGAAAGACAAAATTATGAACAATTTTAATTAAAGAATTTGGATGATAAACTCAATTATAAATAATGTGTAAGAATCACATCAGACTATATGAAGATACAAAGAGATAGAAAGATATAGGTTTTAATTGATTCCTTTATTAATACTGAAACTTGTACTTACAAACTTGTAAAAGAGTTACTTCAATTTGCAAAAAATTAATTTACAACATAAGCGAAAAATTTATCTATTTATACAAAATTTTTTTTATTACAGCTAACTAATTACTATGCTATAAACTAACTAATTTAGCAAAATAAAATATAAGTAAAATAAATATATCAAAAATAATAAAAATATATAAAATAATAAAATATAATAATAAAATTTAAAATATGTATAACACTAAATATTCTTAGACTTTACTTAATTCGTAAAATTATGATTATTATCAGTATTTAGAAGATCTTCATAATTATGTAAATTCTTCGTATTTTCAGAATTCGCAGAATTTTCAGTTTTTCAGAATTCTGGATTAAGAAATCATCATACTGCGTTATTTATGTGACTTCATTATAACTGGCCAATTGCTCCATTGACAATAAAGTATATTAATAGTTATTTTGATTATATAATAATATGTAAACATGAAAAGAAGGTTCTATTATCATCGTTAAATATTAATATATAATCTTTTTAGGTTGCAACTGTTAGATGTAGTGTTAAAGATTTGACTCTTTTATAGTTTACATATAATTCTAATAAATTTCACATTAATCTTAATTATTTTACTATTAATTTTATTAAGTTGAGTTGAGTTTACTAAACATGAGTATCTTTATTCATAGATTAAGACTTTTTTAATAATTATAAAGAGTTTATGATAGAAATAAGATATACTTTATTAAAGAAAAAAAAATAATAAGATAATAAGATATAATAAATATAAGAAAAATAAAGTAAATAAGAAAAATTTACAAAGTTGAAGAGTAATATTATACTTTCTTTTACAGAAGAGATTTTTATATAATTATCAGACTATCTTTTCTAATTTACAAAGAGCTTGTATTTATATTTATTTTATTACATATTTTGACATATTAAATATATTAATTATATTGACTATATTAAATATATTAAACATATTAACTATATTAAGAATGTTAAACATGTTTAATATATTTGATATTTTTGATATTTTGTATTTTGATATATATTTACAGATCTATAATCGTTAAGATCAACACTTGATCACGGTAAGCTTTTTGATCTATCTGCATTTATTCTATATAAATAATAATAACAGCATAGTTTCTGTACTATTTAACTACTAATAGCTTTTTATTCTATAATTAAAATATTTCATAAATCACGTGAAGGACTATGATATAATCTCTCATATTTAATGCTTTAAGAAGTAACTCTCTCTACATTAGCCTTTTTGTATTAATTTTTAACTAAATCTTTACTTGACTTAATAGTTCTTTTTTTTACGATTTATCTATTTTTAAATTAAATAACTTAAAATCATAATTTATTAATGTAACATTCTTTTAATTTTATATAGATATTTCTCTTATATATTTAGATTTTACAAACTACTAGATGGAAATCACTTAATTATAGACTAACCAAAATTGGCTAATACTCTTTTTTAATATTACTCTTATACCCTACTTACTGTCTTTTACTTTAGCTGAAATATTTGTTATTCTTGCTATTATTTATGCCTTTTATCTAATATTCAAGTTGAAATCTATATAGATTCATAAACCATTATAGATTTATATCATAAAATTATTAAATTATATATTAAATTTTCATTATTGAATTCTGCATTTAAATTCTATATTTTCATATTTAAACAACCATCCTTCACCTTATTTTCATTAACAACTTTCAAATTATTTTTACAAAAGTTAAAGCTTATAATGATGACTAATTCAATAATAAAGTAGATCTTTTAGCTAAATAAACTAATAGTAATCTTTGTTATATCAATCCTGATTATTTAGAACTAAAATATACTCTTTATCATAATTCAATATTCATTATTACATCTTCTTATCTCTAGATTAAAAACAAACAATAAGCATTTTAGATTGAAGTTTATTAACTTTTTCTCAATTTTTCATTTATTTTAATCACTATATTGATTGATCAACACTCTTTTACATATTAAACGACTCAGAAAATGCTAAAAAGATATCATTTGATACTTGTAAGAGAAAACAATTTAAGTTTAAATTAGTTTTATAACTCCTTTTAACTCTGAAAATCACAAATGTTTGATATTTTCAGATTTATACTTCATCTATATGTTTTTATTGCAATTCTGCAATTGAAGACTATATATATATTTGGCTTTGTTCTTATAATTTACTATCTCTGTCTAATATTATTTAATATCATAAACAAACCTTTATATCTCATTTAAGGGATTTTAATCATCTTAATAACAATACACCCTTTAATATCATTAATCAATCACCAATTTGATTACTTACCATTAATCATAATAGCTTATGCTTTACTGATTTTTAAAGGGATTGTCCTTTCATTCTTCTTCGCATCAATCAATTCTATTACTTCTAACAAATAACTCTCATTGGATCTTCTCTCCTCCTTATTTGATAACATATTTAATTCTATTTACAATATTTGAAAAAAAATGTGAATCTTTACAATAATGAAAAATACAAATAATATTACAGATGATTTTATTATAGCATGGGTCTCCTCTAGCTTTCCTTATACACCTCAAATACCAGTTTCTAACCTCCCTCCTTTTTAGCAGCTATTGCTTATGGTATTGTACTAGTCAAATTTCTGGTATGGCAGTAACCACACCTTTTCTTCTGAACGTTTGATATCTGTATTTTAGTTTAGTTTAATTTTCTAATATATAGTTTTAGTTCGGTAAAAAGTGCAAGGTTAGTATTGATAAAGTAATTTGATTTTCTAGATTAGTTTATAGATATTTTTGTATTTTCTGTTTTATTTTGATTTACTTGTAAAATTTGAATATTAATAAGATTGTGTAAAGATGATGAAATATTAGATAATGAAAATAAAGAAGCAAGCAGCAATAGTAGAAAAAAATACTGGTAAACTTTAGAAATGCTTTAAACTAGGTAAATTATAAGTTATTAATAAAATATATTTTTCGGTTCTCTTTAGAGCTGAGATATTTTTACCCAATGTAAAGAAAAGAACATACGACATATCGATGCAAAAAAAAACTGCAAAAGTGCACATCGATAGTTTAATCGCTTCTTTTTTTTTTATTTAAATCAATTGAAATCGAACATTACACGATATAAAAAATAGGCCTGTTCAATTTTGATCGCTTTTTTAGTAAAATTTTTAATACACTTTAAAATTTTAAGGAACATGCAAGCTAATGAGAACATTTCGACTAAACGTGTTAGCTCTTCCAGTTCTCATAGTTCTGGACCTCAAAAGAGGAAAAAAAATAACATTACGCGTTCAACTCCGCGTTTAATTTTGCCTAACTCTCAGCAAGAAGTTTCTCAAGCTCCTCTTCAATTGCAACAAAATATTCTTCAAGTTCAACTTCAACAACAACGAAATATTCTTCCTCAACTTCAACAGCAACGAAACATTCTTCCTACATTTTGTAAAAAAAAAAAATAATTTATATACGAAAAAAAAATGATCCGATCAATAAGCCCGATCAACGTACTCAATTTTTGATTTTGATCACATGTCAATGGATTTCCGAGATTGGGACGCGAGCTTTATGTCAGATGAATACCTGCCGATTTGCAAGAAAAAAACTTACCTTCGCTAAGTTTGGACTATTACTTTTTTTTACAATATCAACGTTTTTTTTTCGCTACCAGGTAAATTTTAGTAAAAATTCTCGTTATAAGTTATATCGATAGTTTTGTTAAGCATGAAGAAAGTGTCTGCGGTAGGGCTGAGGCCTATCGGAAGCCAGATATGGCGAGTCGCCATCAAGCGGTGGCCGGCTGACTTCGTTGCATCAGAACTATTGTGGGTTCGTTATCATGAAAGATGTCTGCGGTAGAGTTGAGGTCTATCGGAAGCTAGTTATAGCGAGTCGCCTTCAAGCGGTGGCCGGTCTTAATTGAAGAACTGCCCATTTTTTATTACTTTCTTGATGCTTTCGTTTATGATAATACTTACAGTCTCTTTTTAACAAAGCAATAATGAGAGGAGAAAAAGAAAATCTTCTATGAAAACCCGGCAAGAAGCGAATTATAAATTGGATATTAAATTCTCGGGAACCAACTCCAATCGCTTTTTTTCGCTTAACCCATCCAACAGCGCGTGCACGGGCGTTATCAAAATGTAGATCTTGCTTTGGGTCGTAGTGAGGGCAATAAGCTCGATAAGCTTAGAGACGTGAATAATGACGTATGTATTTAAGAATGTTGACAATTTTGACGTAAAACAAAGTATTTTTAATGTCTGTTCTCTCTTAATAGGAAGAAACTTTACAAAGTGATTGGGAGACTTGGCTAAAGAAAAAAAAGCTGTATGTCTATTCCACGTATTTTTTGAGTTATAATTTCGTGGTTTCTAAAATTCAAATTTATGCTTTAGATTCTAGCTTGTCGAGCAAATCATGATACAGGTCTGCGCATTCAACAAGATTTTACATCAACTATGACCAATGTAAGTCATTTATCAATAAGTACGACTTTGGTGTTCTTACAACTTTACTTAAAAAAGATTTTCACCGTAGATTGTCGGTATTTTCGGTACAATAAAAAGTGATGACAATAAGGAGAATGATTTTGATATTGAAGAACACAGTAACAGAAAACATCAATTGGAGGAGGTAGATGGTGAAGAACTTAATAATGAAATACCGATAGCTTCGGTTCCATTATTTACGAAAAAGGCGAGATCAGAGGACAGTGATGTTGATGTAGAGCACGAAGACATCTATATTAGAGCTGTTCATCTAGCTCACAAGGTACAACCCTTCTTTTATGCATAACTTTGGTCTCCTTGGGTATCTTCTGACCTTAAGGTTTATACTGTTGCACAGGAAACAACTTCAGAGATTAAGGATATTTTTAAAAAAATAGAATCCTTAAAAGACCGCATTTTACAATACCGAATCATTAATCTATCAATAAGAAATGCCACGAATCCTCTTCATAAAGTATTGACAGAAGGTGAAAAGAAATTATTAAAAGATATTTGGATATCGGTAATTAATGCATTTGTTATAGGAAGTGTGCTTAGTTATTTATGGTTATTACAGTATTAATAATATGCTTTTTTAAAAAGCTCGAACCATCGGAAGTTGACAAAATCAAAACTGCCCGTTATAAAAAATGGGAGTCGGAAGTAAAACCTTTAATAAACACATATCATAATCATCTGGAAGTTGAATCAGTTTTCGATGACATTTGCTTGGATGATGCAATTGAGATCGTTGCTAAGAAGCCGTATAATGGAGTTTTCATTTATAAAAAACATTACGAATTGAATTGGGTACAAGATATATATAGACGTTTGTGAGTACTAGTATTCTTATAATTATTGATCAAAGTTTTATCCTGTCATTGGATTGACTGCTTCTACTTATTTTTTTTTTTTTTAGTTTAATGATCTTTATGGCACCTATCAATCAGCTATTGGACCCCGAACAGACAGAATTTTCTTATAGAGAAAATTTCATTAATCCTATATTCGCGAAAGTATTCGACGACTTAATGGAAATCATTAATATGAGGACGTAGGTTTTGATTCAATACTTTTTTCCCATTGTTTGTTGCATGTCTTATAATAACGTGATATTCTCCTGTTTTATTACACCAGCGGTGAAATCGAAAATATGTTGATAAAAGCTCAACGTATCGAGACGCGAGTACGCACACAACGGCTCAGTCTTGGTTGCCGTCAGGATGGTGTAATTATTGTTAATGTAAATGGGACTTCGATGGAAGTTGGGTTCATGGATGTGGTTGGAAGTGCTGTCTATGATGATCTTACCAAACTATCCGAGGATCTAGAGAAAGTGCTAAACTGTAAGTATGTTTATAGCTTAATACGTCATATTTACAACGGGATAACACACTTTCCCTAATGTCTTTCAAGCAATAGCAATTTAAAGTAAGATTATTTTCTATTAAATCAGAAAAATTTGGCATATATGATTTATGTGATCAATTTTCTTATTTTGATTAGTTGAATTGATTTTTGTTTTTGTAATATTAATCAAAAGTTACAATTTTATAAAAAAAAGATTTGTAGTCTTCTTATTATTTTTTTTAGCAGATTTTGTAATTTAAACTAAAAGAATTTATTATAAATTTTTATGATAAATATTCATTTAATAAAAGTTAAAAATAAATATTTTTTTAATTACAACTGTATTATTAATATATGCAAATTTGACATATATATAGTCAATATAAATAATTTAATATACCTTAACTAAATAATAACTTTTTATAAAATTAAATTAGAAACCTAATAATATAAATGATATTTTTAACTGCAAATTTTACTGCTTAACCTATTAAGCTTTTTTTAATATATTTTATATAATAAAATACCTTTATTATATACTAATGAATAATTATAAGTGAAATTGAAATAAGAGTCAATAGAACAGTTTTTTGTAATTCTATCCATAAGTAATCATAATTTAACTGAATAAATTTCTTAACTACATCTTAAAGTTCTCAATATAATTAAATTTACAATAAAATTTAAGATAGAATATGATTTGTTATTTAACTATAATAATAACTACTTTTAATTGTTTCTTTATACTAAAAATTTGATTATTAACTTATTGTTTTCGTGTTTTTTCCAATTTTAACACTTTATTTAATCATAATCCCCTATCTATTAAAATTTGCTTTAATCCTTTTAGCTATTCAAGTAATTTAAAAATATGATAATTGAAAGATTATTCTTGTTAAATTCCTTTATTAAAATACCTGTTATACATTTTTTACTAGGGTTAATATTCATATATTTAGTAATTATTGTATTTGATAAAAAGCAGTATTATTAAATATAAGTAAAGCTTAATATTCTGAAAAATATACAGTTAACTCTTGATATAACAAATTTTTTAAACAAATATAATAAAAATACTCTTGTGATAGCGAATTAGCCAATCAAATCTCTTAAAATCTTCACTATAGCTTTATAGTGAAGTTAAGGTCTAAGACATAGAGTTCATTATAACAAAAATTTACTATACTTCAAATATAAGAATAGCATATTCATCTATTATTTATTAAAACTTTAGTTTTTCATTATCAATTATTATCTTTCTTAGATTTATAATAATATAGATCTATTTAGAAAAATTATCTAATACTTATATTTTATCAGAAAATGCAAGATAATTACAAATATTAGTCAAAAAATTATTAATATGAATTAATTGACTATTACCTTTTTTTATAAGGTTATTTTTATTTTTCATTAGAGATCTAAAGATTCTGATTTTTATCATAAGCTAAAAAAATGCATTTGTTATATACATTACCCTCAGAAAAGTATCCGGTCAGCTGAAAAAAAAATATTTATTTAAAATTTTAAGTGTAAATTTTTAAAATAATCGAAATCGTCAATAATTAAGAGATGTCTAATTCTTTTTTTTATAATTTGCCTAAGCTTACCATCTTTATTGGTTATCTGAATCTTTTAGCATTAGATTCATTATTAGAATTAGCATACCGTATAATTACATCTGTAATAGTGCTTTTTAGAAACTTTAAAATGTATACGAAAGTCTTGTAAGTCCTTTCTGCTAACTTTAAACTAATAATTTGTCTGCGTTCAAAGTCATTTAATTTGCGATTTTTTTTTCATGTTGAATGGCGCAATTTTTAAAAAGGTGAAATCGAAGTTGTTTTATGTTTTTATATATTAAACCTGATCTATGCATTATTACACAAATATAAACATATGCACATTATCATCAAAATCAGGGGGATTATTTAAAAAAAAAATTTTATTTAGTTGATATGTCCGATCTTGAGAAATTTAAAAAAAGCTTGACCAGATACTTTTTTGAGGGTAGTGTATGATAATGATAAGTGAATTATTTGATTAAGTTACTTCTTTTAAATTGTTTTCTGAAAAATAAACATTTTTTACTTAAATTCATTTATTTATTCTAAAATATTTTCTAATAGGTCACTATATACAGTCGAAGTGATTTATAACGAATCTCTATTTTCAGAGATCACAATTCGTTATAATAAAAGAATTTGGTAACGTTTTACTGAATTTTTTAAGTTTATTCGTTTATGGTTATATTGAATATCATATACAAATTCAGTATATTATTTATAATATGATTGTCATTTTTATTATATATTCGAGAGGTTTAATGATAAAATTAGTAAAAAAAAAAAATCCTTCCTGCTATAAAACTTTACAAACTTCTATTCATTTTTCTCACCTGTCAAATCCATTCCTACAAAAGAGTCTAAGGTAACTTGTTGCTTGAAACAAAATTCTTCTCGTTCTATAGCCTTTCGCAATTTTTTTATTGCCTGAATTTGGTCTTTTTGAAATTGAATTTTTTCA